TGAAAAACTTAACTGCATACTTAAAATATGGAATACCAACATTAGTCAAAAAGCATGAATTTTTAACTTATGGAATAACCTCCACTGCCAAAAATCGCGAATTACTCACGTTGCACGCAAGTTAGGTCCCCTTAAGAGCACCACTATACTCTATTAAAATCTTAGTTGTTATTACTAAGAAAATGTTTGTCGAAATATTACATTGTAACGCACGAAAATAGTTTGACTGTAATTTATGATAAATTATGATGGTACACATCCGTTACTGGAACAGCTGTTGTCATATATATAGATGTTTTTCAAAAAAAATCTCCCTGTTATGGCTCTACAAAATCAAAGCTGATGATGAAAAAAAAAAACGTTTGATGCCAGCTACGCTCAGCAACATTGTCTTTGTTTCAATCTCAATTCCCTAACTTTTAAAATCGTCATTACGGGTCTGCTACTACATTGTGTACTCCGGTCAAAAGAGGTCATTATAATCTCACTTAACTTTAAGGTACCTCCCATAGGTCACTAGCCAATTTTTCTCACTTTAACTGGCCTTTGAATACCTCTAAAAGACTAAACACTTATAAGTTAAGGCAGCTTAACTTGAAGGGAAAATTTGATTCTTAACACTGCCTTTGAATACCACTTACCCTTAACTTACAGGAAGTTATGTATATTTAAGTAAAATCTAGTAGTTAAGTGACTATCTTAGACTTAATATATATTCTTTGAATATGGACCCAGGTATATGGAATTTAAATAATCAATGAATCGTTGTGACATGTTTTATCAATAATATAATAAATAACTTGATTTCTCTCCCATCTACATATTGACTGTCTTGTATAATTTTTTTGAATTTGAACTAAGTATTCAAAAAGTGGATAAAAATGACATTTCTTATTGATGCAGTAGTAATCTTCAATGTCTCTGTCAGTGCCATCTTCACTTTCTCATTATAGTTTAAGAAATTGAATCTTCCACCGCCAACAAGTTTCAACTGGACCAGGATATGATGTAATCGTCTGAAATTGACCATTCTGAGAGACAGATTTTATTAGCTATTGGTCGAGGTTATGAGTTTAGGGAGATTTTTTAATTTGTGTGAAAGGAAACCCAAAGCTTTCTTTGCATTACAATATTAAAGTCTCTTATCTTGGTTGCAGGGAATTTAAATTTCTTGCAAAGTCTCTAAAATGAATATCAGTCCTATTCCGATCAGTGTGATGAATTGGAAACAATATAAACAAAATAGGGTCAAAGGAAATCAGCATCACCCTACAAAATTGCTAAAATCTGTTTTTAATTCAATTAATGACATTCAGAGATTCTTAATGTGAAATGACCACTTTAAAGAAAACCCCAATTGATTTATGGAAACTTGATGAAATTCAATATTTATGAAACATTGATTTCAGAACTTACTCAAGGATTTCAGATTGAATGAAAACCAACAGAATAACAGTATATTTAATCTGTATTAAAACATGGATCAGTTTTCTTTATGCAATTTTAAGAAATTGCTCTCCGAAAAGCAATTTGAATATCTTCCAATATCAATATAAGAATCCATAAAGATAGACATTTTTACTATTTACATTTGCCCAGTAAATAATATTAGATGGGATGTTTTTTAATTATGGCAGAGTTGTAAGGACAGAGAGTGAAGCTTTAAGAGAGACTAAGTTAATATGGAAGTCAAAAATGATTCTTTATAACGATTAAGTTTGATCTGGCTTTACGTTCACGGTTCTTTACACAGGTATTGTGTTTATAATTGAACATCTAGTGTCGTGGACAATAAGATGTATTGATTCACTGATTAATACACCAACAACAGTAGTATGTGGAGAGGGGGGAGGCAAAACAAATTAGATAGCCGGGTCATGGATCTTAATCTTAGATATCATTTACACTGAAAAGAAGACTGCCCGTGACATTGAGTACAAGAGTAACTCCTCTTTGCTATTTTATCAGAAAGATCAATTGGTGCTTGCGTAGAGGTTTCAATTTGTGATTTTTATTTAGCTGTTACATATACATGTTATTCAGGATATTTGTTGTGTTCGGAATAATGGACGTTGACAGACACTTGCAAATTTCTAGGTATTATCTCTTTTTTCAAACTTTACTGGGGGGGTTTCTAATTTTGTTTTCAAAAAAAATTTTCTGTTACACAGAAACATTTTAACAAGTATATTTTATTATTAATTTATAGATAACTATTAATTACTGGTAGCATACATTAATGTTGGTCCCTGGTACTTTTATTGCAATGTAAGATACCAGTATTGATATCATACCACTATAAACTGCACAAAGTATTGTGTGGAATTCTGTCTGATCTGGCTAGATTGCTAGAAAAGCCAGGAAGTAAGCTAAACAAGGCAAAGTCAAGTAAATGGGGCATTCTTGAACTTGAAATTTGCTATCAAGAAATTGAGAGCTGTCATACAGCAATTAATTTTTATACACCACATTTTCATGTGGATGTATATTGTCGTTGCCCCTGTACGTCCCAACGGCCGTCCATCCACAATTGCTTGTGGACACTCTACAGGTCACAATTTTTATCCGATTTCAATGAAACTTGAAATATAGGTTTATCTCCCTAAGATCTTGGTTCCTTTCGATATTGGCATGTATCGGACCGTAGCTTGTGGACCCTCTAGAGGTCACAATTTTTATCCGATTTTGTTGAAACTTGAAATGTAAGTTTATAACCCAAAGATCTCGGTTCCTGTCGATATTCGCACATATCGGACCGTAACTTCCTGAATTATGGCCCCTGTTTGTATGAAAAATCGTGTTTTTAGCTTGTGGACCCTATAATTTTTATCCGATTTAAAAAAACATTTGAATATATCACCATTACACCGTGATGTTTGTGGAATTCCAATTTCGTGAATATCGAGCCAAAACTGCTGGACAAAATGGCCGCCCCTCGTATGCAAATAGTGTATAGCATCTGTTTATCAAGGTTGTGGACCTCCTAGAGGTCACAATTTTGATCCGATTTTAATGAAAGTTGAAAAACATGTTTGTTACCCAAAGATCTTAGTTCTTTTCGATATATTTGCACGTATTGCATCATAACTTCCTGAATTATGGCCCTTGATTGTACAAAAAATCACGATTTTAGCTTGCGGTCCCTTTAGAGGTCACAATTTTTATCCGATTTAAAAAAAAACATGTGGATATATCACCATTACACACTAAGATCTTGGTTCCTTTTGATCATCGCGCATATCCGAACGTAACTTCCTGGATTATGGTGCCTGATTGTTCGAAAAATCGCATTTTCAGCTCGCGGATTCTCTAGAGGTCACTTTTTTTTTCCAACTTTCAAAACCATTTTATAATATCACCATTCCACCATAATGAAGGTTGAATTCGAATTTCGGGTAAATTGAAATGAAACTGCCCGACAAAATGGCCGCTCTTTGTACGCAAATTGAGTAAAAGTATGCAATACGAAGGTTAATTGTGGACCCTGTAGAGATCACAATTTTTATCAGATTTTGATGAAACTTAAAACATATCTTTATATCCCAAAGATCTCGGATTCTTTTGATATTTGCGCATTTCAGACCATAACTTTCTGGATTATTGCCCCTGATTGTACAAAAAATTCCATTTGTTTTTGGTTTGTTCTCTATCCATCTCTTGCAAAATGTGGGTGTATCCTGCCTGGCAGGCGCTGGTTTAAAAGTGGAATATAACTTTAAAAGATATACAGATTTAAGAAATGATTATTCTGCTATCCTCATGCCCATCTCCAGCAATTTTACCAAAGATACCTTCGATAAAGACTTTATAGATTACTTATTGATAAATTGCCGAATTAGTACATGTATATTATAGGCTTTCATCAAGTTCAAATGAAACATAAATTTGAACTTGTTCTAGAACTCCAGTAACTTATCCATGTCTAATGTGATTTGATCTTATGAGTTGTGACTTTAAAGCCCTAATGCAAAAAACTATGATATTCAAGGTATAAATCTGTGGTTGCAATCCTGTACCTCTGATGCAGGTCTGGAAGTAATGACTTTAGATATACCAGACAAAATGTCAGAGAATATTGAAGTTGTACCCGACAGTTTCAGACTATCAGATGTATGTATTGAATATATTATCAGTCCTTCACATTTATGAAATAATGAAATCATGCAGGAGCCATAAAAGGCTGCTGCCAATTTCATAATGAGAAAAAAGCTCCCATAAAAACTCTTCATAATTATATTGCAAGAGTAATTCTACATTTTATGAATTAAGGAGAACCAAATTGTATTTCTGCTTTAAAGGCTTGTTTAATATTCTATTTACAAATGTATGGAAGATAATGCCTTACATTAGCATTTGACATCAGATTGAAAACGAGGGCGATATGATTGGTAAATATGGTAGCGTTTGAATTAAAATTATGGAAACTGATAGCTTGAACGTATGCTATAAACAAAATCTGAAAGTAGTTTATTAATCTCAATATTTAGGAGAGCGATTAGGTAGTTTGCGAGAGTCTTTAAATTTTAATGACTCCAGCAAAGAAAAGTCGAGGTGCATTGAGAGGAGCATATATTTACAGATAAACAATTTCTGCATCAACCATCAGTTAATGTTGAAATTACTAAAAGATCTTTTTCATTCTTCTCTGCCCTCTTCTCTTATGGAATTGATTGCCTTACAACTTTAGAACCACTGACTCCTTAAATGCATTTAATGCTCAGCTAAAAACTTTCTTGTTTACAGATTTGACTCACATTTTCCTTAGTTCAGTAGAGAGAACTGTTTTCTGTTTTAGTATTATTGCGCTATAAAGATAGAGGATTATTATTATATTATTATTAAACATATAGATGTGACAAAGCTGTGCCAGAAAATTGACAGACACCTAAGAAATTAAGGCCTGAATTTGTACCATGCATTGTCAGTAACAGGTGGCATATTTCCAGGCTTTAGGTTCATGAAATATAAAGTATTTATTAATTTCATTGTTATAATTTCAGTATATCTAATACCAACAGTTTGTCCAATGTCAGCAGTACTCTTAGTGATCGTATGCATGAGTTGGTGCGAGCCTTCTCTAGTAGAACACAAAGAACAAAAGAAAGAGTTGCTCAACCAGCAACACCATCTTCGACATCTAGTTATGATGCCAAATCAGGTAAGATAACTCCTTAATTAAGTCAGTATTTCTGTGAATTTTTCCCCCCAGTTTGCTGAGTCCTGCATAAATTACCAGTATTTGCATATTCCCTGCCTACCTAATCCTGTAGCGGATTTCAAAAACTCAGAACTGGCTCATGTTGTTCTGCAAGTCACAAGGATAGGAAGCGTATCGAAATTCAATTTTACAAGGAGTTTGATGATGGAACAACTTCTTGAGACAAAGTTGTAATGCTACATTACCCAAAGTGATCCTTATAGATTTTGTTATTTTATTGATGGACCTGTCTGCATAGCTCGAAATGTTTGCCTGTCTACTTGTCGTTGACAGGCGATTTTTTCGTCTGACAGGTAGCAAGTAAAACTACCTGTCACTTGCGACAGGTGGACTAAATTTTACTTGATGTTCAGTAAACTGACTTAAGACCACAATACTCACGTCACGTACATTTAATTATTCGTTTCTAAATGCAAGAATTAAGCACGGAAATACCGCGAAAAGTTGCCATTTGCACTGTTTACATTTCGCTCTGTCATAGGCAACAGTTACTCTCACAGTTTGGAAGTAGACAATTTTATAACAATGAATTTCACACCATTTACGCTTGTTTTCATCTGCTTGACACTAGTTTATAGCATTATGAAGTATTATATCTAAATAAATTAAAACGCACCCCCAGGTCATCTAAAATAGTTCTATCGTAGCGACACCACAGTAAATATAGTGGTAGCTGGAATGGAAATGCACACGGCTCGTTGCCTGGTGACGTGTATTTAATCATTTAAAAAGTTTAAAACAATTTCCATAAATAAAGGCTATGAATAATTTATAAGAAAATTTACAAAATCAAATAATTTGATCGGAAAAATATTTCATATATAAATATAATTTGTAGCGTAAATATAGACAAGATATGTGAGAAAGGAATTCCAAGGGGCGTTACTTGTCCTCCGCACGCGGTACATGTAAATATGGTACCATGCACAGGTGTGATTCGTGTTTTGATAATCAATGTATTACGGATATTTTAAAATCTGAATTATACACCTCAACAACGAAGTATTCGATTTAGTACGCAAGTTTGGTACCATGATACTTGGCGGATGATAGAATTGTATGAATCTTCGAGTCGCTGAGCCAAAGCAGATTCACGGACTTTCAAGAACTTATAGGCATTCAGATGTTGAAGAAATAAAAATGTTTCATATTACGATATTTATATGGAGCAATGTACGTCAAGACCTTAACAATTTAAGAGTGTGTGTGTGTACCTACATGTAAGGATATATGTGTCATGTGATTGGTCTTTGATAATTGAGAGTGACAGGTTATTTAAACATTTCGAGGCCTGTGTCTGTGTGTATGGGACTTGTCGGTGTGTGTGTGTGTCTGTGCGTCGCCTACAGGGTGCAATTCTTTATGGATTGTCTTGAAACTTTACATACTTATTCCTTATATCCTAAGGATGATCCCTATTGTTTTTGGTGCATGCCTGATCCCCAGGGGCAGAGCTAGGCCAATTTCTTGTATTTGTTTGTTTGTCGTCTACAGGCCGCATTTCTTAAAGTATCATCTTGAAACTTTGCATACTTATTCTTGTACCCTAAGGAACATCCCTGTCGTTTGGAGTGCATACCCAACTCCAAGCCACGCTCATTTTCTTTTTGGGTGTCGGTGTGTCACCTACAGGCCACAATGCTTAAGTGATCATCTTGAAACTTTACATACTTATTCCTTATACCCTAAGGATGATCCCTATTGTTTTTGGTGCATGCCCGATCCCCAGGGGCAGAGCCAGGCCAATTTCTTGTATTTGTTTGTTTGTCGTCTACAGGCCGCATTTCTTAATGTATCATCTTGAAACATTGCATACTTATTCTTTGTACCCTAAGGAACATCCCTATCGTTTGGGGGGCAGAGCCACACCCATTTTCTTTTTGTGTGTCTCCTACAGGCCACAATTCTTAATCGATCATCTTAAAAAAAATTCATATGAATTACTTATACCCTAAGGATGATCCCTATTGTTTTTGATGCATGCCAGACCCTCAGTGGCAGAGCCACGCCCATTTCTTGTAATTATTTGTTTGTCATCTACAGACTGCATTTCTTAACGTATCACCTTGAAACTTTGCATTCTTATTCCTTCTATCCTAAGGAACATCCCTATTGTTTGTGGTGAATGCCCAACCCTCAGGGGCATAGCCACGCCCATTTTTTTTTGGTGCCTGTATGTCACTTACAGCCCGCAATGCTTAATCGATCGTCTTGAAAACTTTTTTATACTTATTCCTTATACCACTCCCAATGTTTGTGTGTCGCCTACAGAGCCACACCCATGTTTTCTTTGTGTCTCTGTGAGTTGCTTACAGGCCACGATTCTTAATGGATTGTCTTTGAACTTGGGATATGTATTCCTTATAGCCTAAGGACGACAACTGCGTGTCCCGACCCCAAGGCGCAGACCCACAACCAATTGTTTACAGGCCGGAATTTTGAATGGATCAACTTGGTACTTGGCATATGTATTCCTTATAGCCTAAGGGCATCAACCATTGATTTTGGTACGCGCAATCGAATTATGTAAATAAAATTAAACCATGTTAGTCCCGAAATGACATAGTTTGTGTCGAGTGGACGTTAAACCCCATTTCTCTCTCTCTCTCTCTCTCATTGATTTTGGTGAATTCCCCGGCCCCAGGAGCAGAGCCACGCCCAATTTTTGCTATTAGCGCCCAAAGGCCACAATTCTGAATGGATTATCTTGGAACTTGGTATACTTATTCCTTATACCCTAAGGACGTTGACTATTGATGTTGTCATTTTAATAACAGGGTGGTACCTATTTATATTATTCCATATCCAACCCCAGGGGCAGAGCCACACCCATTTTTTGTATTTATCGTCTACAGGCTGCAATTCTTAATGGATCATCTTGGAACTTTGCATTTTTATTCCTTACACCGTAAAGACAGCAACTATTTATTTTGGTGCTTGCCCTGACCTCCTGGGGCAGTGTCACACCCACTTTTTTGTTAATATTTTGTCTGTTAATTTGGCAAAACAAACCCAACGCCTAGCCTTCTTTGCCTCTTGTCATATTACAGTCATTTCATATTTCATTCCCTTTATTTTAAAAAGTACCATATCAATCAAAGCTGGAATGTGGATGTATATTGCAGTGTTAGCAATGCTCTCGTTGTGTTTATCGTATACTGGCTGCAATTCTGAATGGATTATCTTCAAACCAGGCATATGTATTCCTTATAGCCTAAGGGCGTCAACTATTGATTTTGGTGCATGTCCCGACCCCAGGGGCAAAACCATGCCCATTTTTTGGTGTTTAGCACCTGAAGGGCACAATTCTGGATGGGTTATCTTGGAACTTGGTATACTTATTCCTTATACCATAAGGACGGCAACTATTGATTTTGGTACATGACCCCCACCCACCTACCTACCTACCTTTCGGCGGTGCCACATCTACTTTTTGTTAATGTTTTGTCTGTAAATAATCTACAGGTCGCAATTATTAAAATATTTGGATCCAATTCTGTTGATCCTTCATAGGGTTGTACCTATTCATATTGGTCCATGTCCAATCCCAGGGACAGAGCCACACCAAATTTTTGTGTTTTTGTTTACAGGCTGGAATTCTGAATTGTTCATCTTGGAACTTGGCATATTTATTCCTTATACTGTACGAATAGCAACTATTTATTTTGGGGCATGTTCTGACCCCCCAGGGGTGGTGTCACACCCATTTTTTTTTTATTAATATTTAGTCTGTAAATTTGGCAAAACAAACCCAATGCCTAGCCTTCTTTGAATCTTGTCATATTATAGTCATTGCAGCCATTTCATATTTCATGCTATTTATTTTAAAAAGTACCATATCAATCAAAGCAGGAATGTGCACGTATATTACAGCGGTAGCGATGCTCTTGTTAATAATTAAAAATAGTTCTAAAAGAAGGAATAAATGCATTCTTTTCAACAATTTAAGGTTTATCACCAATTTATTTCTTGTTGAAAATATTTACAATAAGTGAAAATAGTGAAAACCTATTTTACAGTTTTCAAGATTAAAATGCATGTGTAATAATACTAGGAATTATTTAACACTTTATTTTGACATTAAAATTTAAGAAAACAAGTAATATCAGAATTGTAAACAAAAGGGTAGGCAACATATAAATATATTTGTAAGGTTATGATAATCTCTACAGTCTTATTTTAGGTGGTATGATAGTTTCTGGACCTATAGGGATAGCATCCTCTCACTAATTCATATTATTATTGATTTTTTTACTGCTCTAAATTCAGTGTGTAACTTTCTGCTGAAGACAGCACGATTCCAGATAAAGCTGTGCCATTTCCACTTCCCTGTTGAATTTTAAATAACATGATATTGCCATGAATGCCACATAAAATGACCTGTCAATACATAAAAATTTGTCCGTTTATAATTAGTAGTGATTACTGAAGTGGTGAGAGTGTATAGTAACAAACTGATATCTGATTAATTAAGGGCCATAACCTAGCAAGGCTAGTGTTTCCGCTGTGTCATGTCTTGTGGCCAATAAAGTACGATCAATAATTTTCGATGATTCTGGCGATCAATGCCAAGGCTGGCTAGATAACATGGTGGTATGTTGATAGTATTTTTCAATTATTTCTTTTCTTTGTTTTCTTACAACGATTTCTGCCTTCCATTGAATTTCTTTTATGCTGATTTATGGATATTTTGATGGCCAATGAATAGGTTAAGAATGTCAGTGCTATTATTCCATATATTAAAAGAATTTAATGGACTTGAAGTAATAGATTATCTTGTTAGATGTGATTACAATACTTTGAATCATTCAGCTATTTTATTGTTTTCCTTATTTTATACAAAGATAACACCATCAATAACTAGATATGTTCTCTACATAACATTTAGACTCTTATATATAGAAGGAAAACCAATTCTCGGTGTCCCTGCTTGAATATTA